AGTGTTTTCCAGTCCAGTCTGTTGAGGAAGCATGCCCTGGCCCCAAAGTCCACATTCAGCATTCCTTTGGGACCTCGTCGCTCCATTCCCTTGCTGTTCTGTTGCACCACCTTAATGTTTTGCTTCGGTGTGATGGGATAAATGTATTACTTTCATAAAATATCCCTATAGTTATTTATAGCAACAAAACTATTTGTTTAAGCCTGGTTTACATGTATCAGCAGACTGGCAAGGTTAAAACTCTCTGCTAATTTATCATTACCCAATTATGATGACACTTTAATCACGTGGTTGGTTTTTAAATTTTTCTTCATGCGTTGTTATTTTCTGTGATGCTGGTATTTTTATAGTCCTTGATTTGGTGAACCCTTGGGGATGAGTATGAAATTATTCTGATTTTTTAATATTTTTCTACTTTTTTTTCTTTTAAGGTTTTTCTCTGTTTTATTTGGCCATTGCTGCTGGGGTTTTTGTTTGTGTTTTGTATGTCAGGATGGGTGGATCTATGAAGAGAGCAGCTGGATTAATAATTACCTGGGGCCACAGAAGGGGAGGTGGGGGAAGATGGGGGTCAACAGTACTGGGCACAAGAATGAAGAAAATGTTTCTAAGTTGATTGAGATAATGAATGCACAACCCTTTCTACTATAATTGCACTATTTAATTGTATAATATGTTAATTATCTCTCAATAAAACGTAGAAATTTTTTGTGTTTTAGCTATTGTGGGAAATATTTGTAAGCCCATATCAATAACTTTTTGAAAATGAAGTAGTAATTAAAGGAAAAGGAGAAAAATCAAGAAGGCTTCCTTTCAGTTACTTTTGATGTTATAATTAATAATGTAATTTAATGCAAGAAAATTTTACCCCAAAAATGTTTTGTTTGCATTCACATAATCTAAAAAGTACTACATTTAAGTAATTTGCATCTATATTTATCATTGGTATTGTCATTAAGTGTTACTAAGGATTCTGTATGGTCTGATGGTGGAGGGAGACCCAAGTGCAGTGAGTCTTCCCAGGAGTGAGCACAGTAGGTGACCATTCTTCTCTTTTAAGCCTGCCTCATTCTGCTCTGGGGAAGACCCTCGGACTTCTCTTTTTTTATACCCAGACTTGAGTTCCTGGCAGTTGCTAACCTTAGCTGACGCCTCTCCTTGGTTTCTCTCTATGTCAACTGTCACCAGTGCCTTCTCTGTAGGTGCCCTTTGCTCTCCTGACATTCTATCAACGCTGACATCTTGAAAAGATCCTGCTGCTGCACCGGCTTGAAATCATGTCAGCTGCAGGAACCATGTCTTTGACATCTCAGATTCCCTCATGGTGCCTAGAACAGTATCTCGTGCCCAATAACATCTCAACACTGATTCTGGTTGAGTGGATGGAATTAACTTTTCATATATATTACATTACTTACTATGACATGGGATTTACAATTAGCGGGCTCTATTGTACAGCTCACTACTCCAGAGCTGGTCTCCCATGAAGCCAATAGCACACCCTGAAGTGAACAAACAACGTGATAAGGTTGTTGTCTAGTCACAGTCATTACATCTCTCTCCAGTTCCTGGTGGTAGTCAGGGAAGTGTGGACTACCATCCTCAAGGTTAGCCGTCAAATCCACCACTGCTCCTCAGGAGAAAGATGAGGCCATCTTCTCTCACAAAGATTTACAGAGCCTTGGAAACTCTGTACAGGGGGTCACTATGAGCCAGAATCAATTCAATGGCAGTGCATTTCTATATATTTTTGCTTTGTTTTGTAGTGTTGTTTGTTTTATATTTGTTTTTATTGGGGGAGGGAGAGTGGAGGGCTTGCTCCAGACCCTGATTATTATAAATGCGAGGGAACTAATTTCTATGATTGATTTCTTGAAGCGGGGTGATGTCATGTTTCATGGTTATTGCTGTTGGTTACCATTGAGTTAATTCCTACACATGACGACCCCTTATGTTGCAAAGTAAAACTGCTCCCCAGGGTTTTCTTGGCTATAATTTCATAGGAAGCAAATTGTCATTCCTTGTTCTTCTATAATACCACTGGGTAGGCTCGAACCACCAACCTTTAGGTTAACAGTTGAGCTCAAACTGTTTCCATCGCACAAGGACCTATTTCATGTAGGCATCATAATATAAATCTATAGCATTGCTTCACATGTCTTTAGAAAGAAAATGTGTCAGCTTTAGACAAAAAGTATGTCCCATCTGTTTTGGTGGTAGCTCAGGAAATATGTTTGCTCGGTGGTACATTGGTCAAGAAATGCTGGCTTAGAGAACCACACTGGGAAACTTATGGTTGGCTTGTCAGAATCCAAAATAGTTTTACTGTGGCATGGATCATGGTGCTTTAAGAACTTTATCAATCTGGCCCAACCTCTTTATGCTAATGCTATGAGAATGAAAGCAAAAAAGTTTAAATGACTTCCACAAGAGCACTAGACTAATGATTGACAGACTCATGATTCAACATAGTTACTCTAGCATTTACTCATTACATTATACTAGTCTGCACTTTGAGGAATGAAGAGTCAGTACTTTTAATTTTTTTTAATTAGAACCTTTGGGATTATTAGACCATCACTGAGCAACCATTCACATATACCATCTGGCATAAAATTACCTTGACAGCAGGATCTGAAACGTTTCTTTTAATTTCCTATATAATAAACATATCCTATTATACTTGGTATCTCTTAAATACATATTTTATTGATTATTTAAAAGTAATAAACATATAGGATAATAACATTGTAGAACTAATACTATGGCTAAATTAGAAAGTATTATAATATAGATTATACCAATTATCTGTCATTATTTATCAAGACAGTAGAATAAATAACTAAACATATATATTTTAGATCCAAGCTCTGCTCTTTATGAGACCATGCAAAAAAAGTTAACTCCATGCTCCCTCATCTTACAATAGAAATCATAGCATCTATCCTATGTACTGACTATAAAGATGAAATATGTTCATCAGTATGATCACTTAAAATGACTGGCAGCTTATAATGGCAAAACAATAAATATTAATTAAAACCATCTGGAAAATACACGCACTTATGTCTAAAATTAGAAGGCTTTCTTAGAATAAAAGTTAAGACATACTGGGGTTTTAAAGGCTTGAAGGTAATCAAGCGGCCATCAAGCTCAGAAGCAACAAAGCCCACATGGAAGAAGCACCCCAGCCAATGCAACCACGAGGTGTCGAAGGGATCAGGTATAAGGCATCATCAGAACAAAAAATCTTACCATAGTGAATGATGGGGGGAGTGCAGAGTGGAGACCCAAAGCCCATTAGTAGGCCACTGGAGATCCCCTTGCAGAGGGGTCTCGGGGAGGAGATGAGCCAGTCAGGGTGTGTTGTAACAACGATGAAAAATACAACTTTCCTCTAGTTCCTAAATGTTTCCTCCCCGCTCCCACTACCATGACTAGAATTTGACCTTGCAAGTCTGGCTGGACCAGAGGATGTACACTGGTACAGATAGGAAGTGAAAATACAGGGAATCCAGGGCGAATGAGGCCTACAGGACCAGTGGTGTGAGTGGCGAAACAGGGAGGGTAGAGAGAGAGTGGGTAGGAAAGAGGGAACCGATTACAAGGAACTATATGTGACCTCCTCCCTGGGGGACGGACAACAGAAAAGTGGGTGAAGGGAGACGTCGGACAGGGCGAGATATGACAAAATAACAATTTATAAACTATCAAGGGCTCATGAGGAAGGGGGGAGTGGGGAGGGAGGGGGAAAATGAGGACCTAATGTCGGGGGTTTAAGTGGAGAGAAAATATTTTGAGAATGATGTACAAATGCGCTTTACACAATTGATGTGTGTATGGATTGCGATAACAGTTGTATGAGCCCCTAATAAAATGTTTTAAAAAAATTAAATTAAAAACAAAAGTTAAGACATAGACTGGATAAGAAACCCTAGTGGGAGAATATTTTTTAATCCCTCTCTTATGTATTCCCTGTCCTCAAAAAGAACCCAAAGAGATATGTATCTTCATTTGCTGGCAATTTGCTGCTATAGAAATGGGAAAATGCTGTGGGAATATTGTAGTGTGAGGAAAAACACAATGAGAGATCTGAAATTAAGTCGTTTATTAATAATTAATGAATATTTCTGTGAAAATAATATAGTTTATTAATGGTGAAGTAGTTTTTAATGATTAATGACTATTTAAATGACAATGATAATGTATTTTTACAAATGGAACCTGAGCTTACCTAAGGGTAAGGAATGTTTAGAATCTTTTGACTTTAAAAAATATGGCACACATATCTGTATGTATAAATCTGTGTTCCAAATGATCAATGACCTATCCCAAAACTGGAGGAGCCCTGTTGGAGTAGTGTGGTTGTACATGGGACTGCTAACCACAAAATCAACAATTCGAAACCACCAGCTGCTCAATGGGAGAAAGATAAAGTTTTCTTCTCCCATAAAAACATAGTCTTAGAAACCCAGAGGGGCAGTTCTACCCTGTCTTACAGGATCACTATGACTTGAACTCAACTTGACTGCAGTGAGTGAGATTGTGATCCCACAACTGAGAAGAAAATGAAATAATATAAAAGCATGGCTGTCAAAGAGGGAATATAACTTCATCAAATTCTCTTGTGAAAGTAGTTTCAAATGCAATTATTCCTCCAGAAAGATTTTGTCTAGAATATTGTGTATTTATCAATGCATTACCAAAAGTATAGCATCATAATCATGAAGCTAGCATCTGTAAGATAATATACTGTTTCAAGGCTTTCACTATTTCAATTAAGTTTAATGACAGTTCAATTAATTTCCATTTTCTTGAATATCAAAATAAAATTTTTTCAGATCCTTACCATTTGTTGGCAGGGTGAATAAGGAGTTATTACATGATTCTGTCAAGAGGCCTTTCAAATAAAATGAAATCATGCAACACTATCATAGACTCAAAAGACTATACTATGATTACTTACTTTACTCCTTTATTTCTTTTTATTATTAATGCAGATGGGCCTTATGGACTTCGAGTCAATTCTGATAAAGGGCTAAAAGTAGGGGAAGTGTTTACGATTGACCTTGGAGAAGCCATCCTGTTTGATTGCTCTGCTGATTCTTATCCCCCCAATACCTACTCCTGGATCCAGAAGGCGGACAATACCACGCATGTCATTAAGCACGGACCTCGTTTGGAGGTTGCATCTGAGAAAGTAGCCCAGAAGACAACCAATTTTGTGTGCTGTGCTTACAACAATATAACTGGACGACAAGATGAAACTCACTTCACAGTTATCGTCACTTCTGTAGGTCAGTGTGACATCAGAGAAAGGGGTTCCAATGAATCATGAATGTGTGCTGGCCTTGCCTTCCTCCGTTCTGCCCTTGTATCACGGAGAAAAGCATTGTGCGGTGTTCCAAATAATCTAATAAGCTCTCTTTCCTGAGGTAATTAAGCCATGACTTTAATGAGCAAGTGTACCCAAACCCAACACTGAATGGAGGGGAATTCACTGATGCCTCTCTGGGGCTATGATGGAAAAGGGAACTTCAAAGAAGTTTAAATGCACAGTCTTGCTTTCCTGGATTTGCCAACAGATATTTAAAAGGAGCAGGCTACCATTCAGAAAGTTTCTCTCTACTGTTGCATTCTATGAGATGAGTAAATCCCCTGAGTTAGAAGTCTGGATTTCCTCTCTAGCAGCTATTTCACTTCCCTTTCTCACTATCCTCCAGCATCTCCCCTTCCTCTTCCTCTGTGTACATGCCTGAAATCTCTGGAGGTTCTCAGCAGAGGCTTCAAAGCCCGGGAACTAAAACTATTAAGTCTGGAAACTTACATTCTAGATGCAGAAAAAAGTGACCTAAATTTCAGAGAATTCATCAGCCCCACCCCCCACCCCCCAAAGTTAGTAATCACCACCTGAAATACTGTCATCCACTAAATGTTGTCCTTCTACTCCGTCTCTTCTCTCTGCATATTTCCCTAGATGATTTCATGAACTGCTATGGTTTCATGTACGACAGGTACATCCCACAAGTTTGGCAGTTCAAACGCACCAGCCCCTCTGAGGGAGAGAGAAGATTGCTGTTCCACTACAGAGTTAGCCCACAGAGAAACCCACGGGGACAGGTCCACTCAGTCTGGTAGGGTTGCGATGGGTCAGAATCAATTGAGGGCAGTGGGTTTGCCAGTGCAAAAAAACTGTACAGCCAGTTGCCTTCTACATGCTTCTACTTGTATACACCAGAGAAAACCGTAAGCCTACTAGGTCAACATTGAAGCATCATCGTTCCCCACAGTTGGTAGTCTTGCTATATGCACTAATAAAGTGAATGGTCCTACGATCTAACAATTTACTGAAATCAGAACACTAAATACCTTCCCAGACTTTCCTCTTGGCCGTTGCCCTCCTCCATACACAATCACTGAGTTCTGCTTTTCTTCCTTCCTGTCTCGTCCTGTCCGCTCTCTTTTCTCCCACTCCTACTCTTGCCATTGTTCCTCTGGCTCTTATCTTATCCCTCTCATTTCCCCTCGCCTCTTCTGCCTCCAGCTGTTTGTTCTTATTTTTCTCTCATTTTCCTTTCTTTCTGCTGCTGTTGCTGCTCTTACTAATAATACTTCTACTACTGCTATTTATTTAGTCCTTCCTGAACTGTCTTTGCATACAGGCAAAACCCAGCTAAATTCTACCTACGGAAAGCCTAGGACTGATGAAAACAGGAAGTGGTGTTCAGGGGGCTGTAAATGGTGGGAGAACAAGCTCACAAGGGTTGCTACCCATTAATACTTTCCCATTCTCGATAGAGCTGGTGCCTTGAGCAGGGTCCCTAGCAGAAATTTCAGTCCATCGTGTTGAATAAATGAAACAAGACTATCATTCTTGTCAACCTTTAAGCTATTTTTTTTCAGTATGTGGCTCTGTGTCACCTCCACCAAAATCACAAAACATTGGTTCGTTAAATATTTCAGACCTGCTGGATTTAGAAGGCCAGCTATCGGACCTCAGAATTGGAATGTCTATCAAATATAAGCGTGACAAACCCTTATTTAAGGGTGGTTATCCCCCCCCCCCCCCATCTAAACTCTTACATTTATTTGAAAGCTCTTAAGGAGTCCTCACAGAGCCCTGGTGGTGCTGTGGGGTAGGTGTTGGACGGCTAACTGCAAGGACAACAGTTTAAACCCACCAGCCACTTTTCACAAGTAAAATAAGGCTGTGTGCTCCTGGGAAGATTTCATCTTGGGAACCTCTATAGGGTCCCTATGAGTCAGGATCCACTCAATGGCAGTGAATTTCATTTTTGAAGTTTAGAAAGCACCATCAAGAATTGTAAGACCAGGAGGGGGTGGGTGGGAAATGAGGAGGTGATACCAAGGGCTTAAGTGGAGAGCAAATGTTTTGAGAATGATGAATGTACAAATGTGCTTGACACAGTGGATGGATGGATTGTGATAAGAATTGTATAAGCCCCCAATAAAGTGATTAAAAAAAAGAATTATAAGACCTAGAGGGTAAGGAAGAAATATGCAGTGGAAGGGGCTTTTCTAAGACTTGTAAAGTCTTAGAAGTCTTCTAATAGCCTTCTGTGATGATAGGAATGTTCTATATCTGCACTATCCAATATGGAACTCATTCGCCTAATTTGGCTATTTAGAATTTAAAATGTGGCTGTTCAATGGAGGTACTGAATTTTTAATTTTCTTTCATTTTTATTAGATTTCAGTAGTCACTTGTGTCTAGTGGCTATTACATTGGAAATACAGCTCTAGAATTTTCACCTGAATTATGCTTCATTTGTGAAGTAGATAACATTTTCCTTGTAGACACCCAGTATATGTGTCTTTAGGGTATTGTAAATTATGCACTAGTTCATTTATTATTGAGCACCTTTATGGGCCCAATATTGCGGTAGGCACTGAGAATGTCATATGAGATCAAATAATTCATGCTAACAAGGTACTCACAACCTCATACGGGCAGAAAACCTGTAAACAGCTAAAGGGCCACTCTTTGCTTTGTACTTTACTGAATTTTTAATAGGCACAACTGACTTTTCACCCCAATAGCTAACCAAAGCATAATTGAAAAAGTAAACCATAATTAAACATAAAAAAAATATCTTAGTAGCAGTCTAGAGATCATTCTAGATGCCCCTTCTTGCTTATTATTGCAAGAGAAGAAGTGGCCATAATACACAAATATGTATTGTGTACTTTTCCCACCACCTACACCTTCTCCATTAATATTTAGCCAAGGTGTTCTCATAATAGCTGAAGCCCCCAAGGTTTAATTCAGATCTTATTACTACAGTATAAAGACAGCTACCATCCTAATAACAATTGACTTTTGCAAAATCTAAAAAACCTGTTTGACCAGAGCAAAGACCAGGCTGTGTGTTATTACAGTAAATAAGAACAGGTGCTTATTTTTCAGAGAGATTCAGATTTGTCAACACTGGTGACCTCTCTGTGGTTTCTAGAACTATTTTACCACCTCTCAAAAGTCCACAGGCAGCAAAATGATAAATTAAATTAATAGCGCTAATGAGTTTTGTTCAGTATGTGATTCTCTTTAAGTTAATCAAACAAATGAGCATTGTGATGCAGATGAAGTGTCCACCAGCCTCTAGTTGACAAAGACACCTTACATGTAACTATCAGTGCAGCATGCACTCCCATGGGACATCTATTGAGAACTGTGGATAATTCCCAATAGTCAAGGATTTAAAATAAGCCTTTTCGATGTTTCTAAAACCAAGTCGGTGTTTGGTGTAACTAGAACCAAGCCGTTTGACATCGATGACCCGCCTTCTTTCTAATGAGGCAACGAATGTGGTTACAGGTGTTACCAATCAGATGCAGGCAGCAAAGGGAGAGGGGTGAGAGATGCCTCCAAGGCCACAAAGAGGGAAAGAAAAAGATGAGGTCAGGAAATGAGAGGTTTTCCTTGGGGATTGTGTAGGGAGAAGATGGCTGGAGAATGTGACAGTTCGTTGTGGCTTTTCCTGCCTGCCAGGGCACATGGTGCCTTCCACCATTGTGGCTACGGCCCATTCCTCATTTTTGATGTTAGCTAACTTTTCCCTCTCCGTGAAGATAGCCTAAAGGGAACAAGATCCCTGGGCCAGATCGCACTACTGGAAAGGGAGCACATAAAACCTGAATTCAAGACTCATGTTTTTAGCAATTACACAAGCTAAGTATACTGAATATTGAGATAGCTAACTTTCCAAATGATAGCTATAGTATTACATATTGTTAGTACAGCATTTATTTTTCTCATGACTTTAATTTTGCTATGTGATTGAGATACTTCTGGCTTATCTATGACATACATAATTTTATACTAATTAGAAGTTATTAACTCTCTGTGCCTAAAAATACCTTTTATACTTGTTTCAATAAAGGAACAGTGATGAAAATAGTAAACTGGCATTTATATTGTAAAACACACACCCAATTATTTTATCACCTTAACTCAGGCCCCTGTTCTTTGAAGAGGACCCCTGGTAGCATAATGGTTGGAGCATTCAGCTACTAATAATGTTAGGGGTTCAAACCATTCTAAGGGAAGAAAATGAGGCAGTCTGCTTCCGTAAAGATCTAGTTTTGGAAGCCCTATGAGACAGTAGAATGTAACAGCCGGCTCCATGGGAGAAAGACGAGGCTTTCTACTCCCATAAATAGTTAATGTCTTGGAAACCCACAGGGGCAGTTCTACTTTATCCTATCGGCTCACTATGAATCAGAACCAAAGAGATAGCAAAGGGATTGATTAGGTTTCTTGAAGGCAGGTGTCCCTATTTTGAAGTTTTAACTGGGCCAAATCTCTATTACAGTATATATAAACCGAAAATAGTCACAGAAATGTAAGCCTCTGATCATCCCTCACATATTTCCATTTAATGTAAGCAATCTAATGTATCATTAGAGTTCTGTAAGAATACATGGCTTCTAGTCATGGTAGTGGGAGCGGGGAGGAAACATTTAGGAACTAG